TTTGCTGTCCCTTACCCCCGGTCAGGCCGCACTTACTTGTCCACTTTTCCTCCCGCTGTGCAGCCCTTTAACTAAAGTGAAGCTGATCAACGAGCTGAATGAGCGAGAGGTCCAGCTTGGGGTGGCGGAGGAGGTGTCCTGGCACTCCGAGTACAAAGACAGCGCCTGGATCTTCCTGGGTGAGGTTCCCAGCTTTCTCCAGCTGTGCTCCTCCTTCTCTGCTGCCCTGCTTCCTAACATCGTTTGCTCTCTGGGCCAAATCAGTGCTTATAGTTACCGTCTGCCTTTCACTGTACTAAGAGTCTTGCCAACTTGTTTCTCGGACCGTTATTGTTATTTGTATAGTTTAAAAAATTTTTCAATTACAGTTGCCATACAATGTTATGTTAGTTTTAGGTGTACAACATAGTGATTAGATATTTATATAACTTACAAAGGGATCACCCCATTAAGCCTGGGATCTATCCGACACCATACTTAGTTATTACAATATTATTGACTATGTTCTCTATGCTGTATTTACATCCCCATTACTATTCTGTAGCTACCAATTTGTACTTCTTAATTCCTTTACCTTTTTCGCCTATACCCCCCAACTCCCCCTCCTCTGGCAACCATCAGTCTGTTCTCTGTATCTATGAGTCTGTTTCTGTTTTGTTTGCCCATTTATTTTGTTTTTTAGATTCCACATATAAGTGAAATCTTATAGTGTTTGTCTTTCTCTGTCTCAGACCATTATTATCATTCCCTTTCCCCCATTATACAGCTGAGTAAACTGAGGCACTGAGAAGTTAATGGACTTTTTAAAGTCACATAGCTAGTAAGTGGAACAGCCAGAACTACAGGATTCTAGAATTAATAGTCTTAGCTGTTCTCTCATATTCCTGCTAATTCCCCCCCACCCCAATCCCCTTCATTCAGAATTCATTTTCCTCACCTGATTAGCTCCTGCCTTCTGTGTTCATATCACCATCTCTATATTCATTTTGTGTCACATCCAGTAATTTGACAGTTTGTTCAAAGAGGCGATTGCTCCAGTCATGGTGCTAAGCACTTTACATTCATTGTTTTATTTAATTCTTATAACAGCTCTGTGAGGTAAGTACTAGTATCCCCACCTTACAGACAAGGAAGGAAACATTTGCAGGGGAATTTATTTCCTATGAAATGCTTAACCATTGTCTTTGTAATCCTTAGTCTATGTGAGGTGGAGTTAATATTTGCACATTTAAACTGATTTTGGATCTTAGTGGTGAATTTGTGAGTAAGGAGCAGATGAGTTCAAGATATGTTTGTGGAAGCAGAGTTTTATCTTGGAAGCAGTTTTCTTTGTTCATAAGAGTTTAGGTGTGAGGAGGATTAGTTTGGTTAGTGGTGACTTAGACCTTTCCACCCAGTCACTCCTTTTTCTGTGCTACTGTTGCAGTTGTATATGTGCTTCTGTCATTGCATCAAACTGAGTTCTCTGAGGGCAGGCCCTGTGACTTACTCTTTTTCACACCCTCAGTGCCTGACCTAGTGCATGGTATGTAACAGGCATTTGGTAAATGTTTGTTGAACTGAAATGTGGTTTTCTCTTCTAGGAGGACTTCCATATGAACTAACTGAAGGGGATATCATCTGTGTGTTCTCACAGTAAGTTCTCTTTCATTTCCTGCCTTCTGGGTTGTCAGAATAGTTTACTTCCATAATGCCTTTTTGTGGCATCACAAAAGCCATTTATTTTAATTTGAGGTTAACTGGCCTGCCTGCATAGGGAGGGCTGGAGCTCCTACTCTAGTCTAGCTCAGTCACAAGACATGGTTCTAGAACTCTCCCAATATGGAAAAATCCAAGAAGTTGGATGTTTTAGGAGGCTGTCGGGGATTCCAGTCTCCTTTTACTGCTTTTTCAGTGGGGCTTGTTCAGTGTGGGCCTACGTTGGAACAGACTGCAACTCCCAGGAAGATACTATGTTGGCCCATCTCCTCAGCCTCCTATAAACTAGGGTTAATTCATGATCACAGGGTCCTTCTGACCCACACCTTGTAGAATTAGGGCAATGCGCAGAGGAATTGGTGAAAAAAGGCAAAAGGTTTAGGCAGTAGTTTGCTTTCTTTGTTTCTAGGTGAGTAGAGTCGATGTCTTTACCCAGAGGCTGAGAATCACAGGTTGATGAGGAACACGAATGAGTAGGAGAACCTAATGTTCTTTTTTCTGTGAGATAATAGCAGCAGCACTGGGTAGGAGAGGGTCTTGGCAGCTCACACTGGTAGTGGCAGCTGGTATGAGAGAGGCTGGGCACAACCCCAGAGCTACACAGAGTGATTAGACAGTCCATAGGGCCCGAGGGCCTTGGCAGCTCACAGGAGCAGAGGACCACGGCCCCTGGATTGTGTAGGTATCAGGGGCAGAGGACTGTTGCTGAGAAGCTGGATAGCATGGACAAGCAGAGGACCATGGCAAACAGGATGTAGCAAGCAAACAGCCAGCACACCCTGGCAGAGACATTGCCATGGCAGGGGATGGCTGGTGCTGTCCCATAGGCAGAAGACCCTGGCTGAGTGGGTTGGGCAGCATACAGGGCAGAAGGCCATGAGAAGGAAATCGGGCAATACACATGAGAGGGCCATGATGGAGGGCCTGGGCGGACCGCACAGGCAGAGAGAGGGTCATGGCAGGGATAGAGGTTGCCTCCTACAACTTCTGGGCTTCAGGAAGTCCACAGCAGGTGCAGCCTATAATTTCCACCCCTTCATGGTACCCCTGCTTGCTCCAGCCTTCCGTCTAGGAGCCGTTTTTGTCTTATTTGCATTGAGTGGTGATCAGCTAGTGTGTGAGTTTATTTTAATTCTCTGTTACGCTACACACATTGCACTCCATGAAGATTGCCTTTGTCACTGATAACTGGCTTTCAAAAAATAGTTTGTTTTCTGATCATCAAGGTATTATCAATATCAATATCATAGAACTTTTGATATCATTGATATCAATATCAATATCAATTATCAATATCATAGAACTTTTTTTTAAAATCCTCACTCGATATTTTTTCCATTGATTTTTAGAGAGAGGGAGAGAGGAGGGAGGAAAGAGAGAGAGAGAAACAGAGAGAGAAACATCATTGTGAGACAGACACATCGATTGGTTGCCTCCCGCACTTGTCCCTACTGGAGATTGAACCTGTGACCGAGGTGCATGCCCTTGACCAGGAATCGAACTCGAGACCCTTTGGTCCACAGGCCAGTGCTCTAACCACTGAGCCAAACTGGTCAGGACCGTTATAGAACTTTTGGTGAAAAGAAAGGTATAAAGAAGAAAATAGAATATACTTTAAGGAAAAACTGTTAACAATTTGGTGTACTTCTTTATCATCTTTTGAAAATTGCTGGGCATAATTTCCAACATTTACTGTTATAAATTATGCTGCCATGTTCATTGTGGTATCTGCATCTTTGTATGCATTCCTGATAGTTTCCTTGGTGAAATTACTGGATCCATGTGTTAGCATTTTTAAGATGTTTTATAAACATTGCTCTGTTACTCTCTGAAAAAGTTATATCAATTTCCACTCTCACTAGAATGCCCATTTTTCTGACCCCTAATCAGCAAGCATTATCTTAAAAAATATTTGCCATATGGCTCATTATTATTTTACTTTGCCTTTATTTCATCATCAGCGAGGAGTACATTTTCTCATAGATTTACAGGCCATTGTTATTTCTTTTGTTTTTGTCAATTGCCTATTCATATCCTTTGCCTGTCCTTTCTATTAGTGTGTTCCTCATTTTCTTATTGATTTTATAAGAGCCTTTCATGTAGTAAGGATATTAACTCTTTGTTATAACATTTTGTCATGTATCGTATTATTATGGCCTTATTTTTTAAAAGTTTGATGTATTATACTACATTGCCATCATTATTACTTCTTGATGCTCATATTGTTCCAGTTGGATCTGTTAGGAGTCCCTTCAAGCCAGCTCCTATGTTCTTTTTTTCTTTAACTTTTTCTTTTGAAATAATTTCAGCTTAAAACTGAGGAGTTACAAAATAGTATAAAGAATACCATTATCCTTTTTACTCAGAGCCCCCAGATGTTAGCATTTTACCATATGTGCTTTATTGTTATTTCTCTCCACGTATACATATTATTTTTTTCTGAGCCATTTGAGAGTCAGATGCAGACATGATGCCCATTTATCCCTAAATTCTTCAATGTGTATTTCTCAAAAAACAAGGACATTCTCTTGTTTAATCTCGTATAGTGATCAAATTCAGGAAACCAACACTGATGCAGTATCACTATCTAAAGACTTTATTCCACTTCATCACTTATCCTGATAATGTACTTTATAGCAAAAGGAAAAAAGTAGCTTTCTTGTCCTTAATCTGTGATGTAAATTGCAGATAATATTTTCTCCTAATTTGCCACTTGTCTTTGCTTATTGTGATTTTTATGCTATGCAGAATTATTATTTTTATTTTTAGGCATTCATTTGTATGTTTAAATTACTTTATGGTAAAATGGACTTTTTAGGGGTGTATGGTCCTATGGGTTTTAATACAAGTATAGATTTGTGTAATCACCTTAGACAGTTTTGCTCAGTAGTTAGAGCCTTGGCCCACGGACTGAAGGGTCCCAGGTTTGATTCCGGCCAAGGGCATGTACCTCGGTTGCAGGCTCGATCCCCAGCCCCAGTCAGGGCACTTGTGGGAGGCAATCAATCGATGTGTCTTTCTCACATCAGTGTTTCTCTCTCGCTCTCTCTCTCTCCCACTCTCTATGAAAAGCACTGGAAAAAATATCGTCAGGTGAGGATTAAAAAAAAAAAAAGTATTTCTCCCTACCCAGTCATCTGTGTTCTTGTCTAGTGCTTGTATGGTTTCAATTTTATGCATTGAAATCTCTGGTCCATTTAGAGTTATTCTGATGTGTGTGAGATATGGATCCAATTTCATGTTTTTTTTCAGATGGCTATCTAGTTGTCCAGCAACGTTTATAAAGGTGCCCATATTTTCCCCAGCAAAGTGGAATGTCACCCTTATTATACATGACTTTTTCATATATACCTGAGCCTCTTTCTTGGTTTTCTTTTCTGTTCTATTCTGTCTGTCTCTTCATGTGCCAGTAAAACATGGATTAATTGTAGAAGCTTTTTAGTGTGTTTAATATCTGGGAGAATTACTTCTATTTATTGTTTTTTTTTAAAAGTTTTCCCAGCTGTTCTGTTCATTTTTCCATGAGGACTTTAGAATCAACTTATCTAGCTCCAGAGGGAAAAAAAACAACTTGTATTTTAAATTGGGATTACATTAAATTTCAGTATTAACTTTGGGGAAGATTTTTATATCTTTACGATGTTGACTCGTTCTATCAAAGAACAAGGGATGTCTTTATATTTGTTTAAGTCTATGTTTGTATCTTTCAGGAATTTTAAAAAGTTTTCTTTATATAGGTTTTATCCATTGATTATATCTTCTGAGTATTGCTTGTATGTAAGAGGATGATTTATTTTTGTTAACTTACTGAATTGTTATACTGTTTGTTTTTATCATTGTTTATCATTGATTCTCTTGGGTTTTCTATATATACTACTATATATCATCTTTAAAAAGAGATAGTTTTACTTTTTTAATTTCTTATATCTCTTTTCTTCTAATTGCATTGGCCAATACCTACAATGTTAAATAGACTTAAATAGTTCCTGATCTTAGTTGAATCATCTCTAGTAATTTCTTTTTTTAAAGTCTATTTTTATTTTTTTAAATATGTTTTTTATTGATTTTATAGAGAGAAGAAGGGAGAGAGAGAGAGAAACATCGATGTGAAAGGGAAGCATTGATAAGCTGCCTCCTGCGCCCCCCTACTGGGGATCGAGTCCACAACCTGGGCACGTGCCCCGACCAGGAATCGAACTGGTGACCTTTTCATGCATTGCACAGTGCTCAACCACCTGAGCCACACAGGCCAGGGCTCTAGTAATTTCTGTTAAGTAAGATGCTAGATTCCGGGCCCAGGTGTATGTATTTGATCATGTTATGTAATGTATCCATCAATTCCCATTTTAATTTTATGACCTTATTTTTTAATTTGTGGTGCTTTAACTTATCTGGACTTTACCTTTGGATAAGGAGTAAGGGAGACTTTTATTAACTCTCATCTGCTTTCCTTAGATTTGCTTTCTTGGTTTTAGCTACATCCCATAAGTTTTAATATATATTATTCTCATTTTTATAATTTTCTAAATACTCTGTCATTGACTTTTTCTTTATTTTGTTTCATTTTCTCTCTCATTCATTACCAGGAGAGTAGGTTGCACGTTCTAAGTTTACTTTGAATCCTGTGCTGTAGTCAGTTTTAATACATGCTTCATGGATTCTTGAGAAGAACTTGTCATCTTTTTATAAGATTCAAATATATATCTATATCTACTAGTCTGACATTAATATTTGTTAACAATTTAATTGTTATATTTTAATTACATGTTTATTTGTATTTATATTACATAATTATATATTAATTACCTTAATTCCCCTGACCTTATTTTCGTCAACTTTGTGTTATCAGTTTGAAGTGGTATGTTAAAATCTCTCATAACTTTCATTATATTTCTCTTTGTATTTCTAAGTTTTTTAATTAAAAAATTTTGATTTGTTAATTTATGCATAAAATTTCATGACTTATAGTTTTATTCTGTATTAGGACCTTTTTGGGGGCCTTGAATTCATCTTCAGTCTTAATATTACCACCCATGTTTTAATTGGGTGGTCTTGCTATATCCTTGTCTAAATTTTTATTTTTAACTTCTCTGTGTTATCTTGTTCTAGATATGTCTCCTGTACGGATTATAATATTTGAATTTTATTTTGCCATGCAATCTGAAAGTTTTTGCATTTTAAATCAATAGTGTCTTTACTTTTTTATAAATAAATAGATATGGGGAGGTTGTTAACATTAATCTGGTGCGAGACAAGAAGACTGGGAAATCCAAAGGATTCTGTTTCCTCTGCTATGAAGACCAGAGGAGCACAATCCTGGCTGTTGACAATTTTAATGGGATCAAGGTGAGTTCGCTTACTAAGCAGGGTTTGGCTGGACTTTTACCATGTAGGGGTTTGGTTTCATTCCCACCTGATCTCCACAGGCTCAAGGACAGTACTGGTCATCTGAGTATGTTGTGATGGTTGTAGAGGTGTGGGGACATACTGACCAACAAATGATCCCAGGAAATAGTTCCATTGGTTCATGACCCTTTCATCCTATCCCTTTTCCCCATCTCTTAACAACTGTCTCTCCAGGAGCATAGGTGCCATGC